AAAAAACGGTGAAAATAATATATATTATATAATTAATAAATTTGAAATAATTTATTTATTTTTTATTTAAAAATTCATAAAATTTAAAAATTAGGATTTTGTGACGGATTTGGAATCCTTCACAAATTCCGTCACAAGTTGTGAGGGATTACGTATCCCTCTCAAAATAGAAAATTTTATCGCACAATTATTATATTTAAGAATTACGTATAAATAAAAAAATATTTTACTAAAAAAATAATTAAAAAATTATGAAACTAAAATATTTTTTTTTATCAAAATATTAAAAATTAAAACATAAGAAATGAATTAATTTAAATAATAAGTTGTCATTTTGAAGTATAAGAAATTAAAATATGAATTAGGAAAAAACTTTTAATTTAAAAATACTTATGAAATTATAAAAAGACAATATTAATTTGCATTTTAACTAAAAAAGTATATTATATAATTAATAAAATGTAAAAATATATATTAGAAAATATATATAATTAATTATAAAATGTATTATATATATATATATTATATAATACACTTTATAATTAATACTTGTATATTAGAAAAAAAAAAAGGTGAAAATAATATATATTATATAATTAATAAATCTGAAATAATTTAATTACTTTTTATTTAAAAATTCATAAAAATAAAAAAAAATTACAATTTTGTGACGGATTTTGAATCTCTCACAATTTGTGACAGATTCTGTGACCGATAATTTTTAAAAATTGTATTCCGTCACAAATTCTGTCACAATTTGTGAGAGATTATGTATCCTTCTCAAAATAGAAAATTTTATTGTACAATTATGTTAAAAGATAGATGAAAAAGAGAAATTTAATATATTTTTAATACAAAGATCAAACTATTACTTTGTAATGCATTGTCATTTACATTTATTTAAACTTCTTTTAATTTTTATAATTAGTTTAAAAAATATTTATGATAATTTATAATATATAATTTATAAAATAATATATGAAAGTAAAAACATTCCTTAATAAATTAATAAAGATGTGACTCTAATATAGTAGATCAATATATGTGAATACAAGTAATGAAAATAATATATATATATATATATATATATATATATGGTTGATGCTGGAGAATTTGTGGCACTTGATCATTATTTTGGATTTAAGTGTTACATAATTTTAGTAAATATTATGAAAAATCATTATTTATAATATTTTCCATTAATTAAAAAGTAGTTAAAGGATTATAAGTATTAGAATTAAAGTTAAATTTATAAAATCATCTAGTAATCGAACATAAGGTTTTAGTAATTGATTACAAGTTTCACAATTTAAACAACTATTTATTCTTTTCATTTTTTCCTCGTGTAACCGTTTCGAATAAATTATTTTAATTTTTAAATTCTATTTATGCATTACAGTTTCGAGTCTATTGTCCTTTTCTTTTTGGTGGAGGATATCACACTAAACTCAATCTGTACGTATTGGGTTGTTTGGTCCAATCAACATTATTTTTTGGTATAAATTTTTGGATAACTTAATTATCAAAATGTTTGATCTTTTCTTTTTATTTTTTTATTTTTTGGAAAAATAATGCAAACAAATATAAGTTTAGTTTTTTAAAAAAAATTTACTTAAGTGGTGTTATGAGAGAAATAAATTTTAAAATATATTTTTCAATTAATTATTTATAAAAATACTTTTATATTCAAATATTTACTAAAAGTATACTTTCAATTAAAATATATTTTAAAAATTTTGTTAATTCATTATCATTCATTCACTTGATTAAAAAGTGATAAAATATAATTAATTTTCAATTAATTTAATAAAATAAAAATTCTAAAATAAATTATATTATGATTTTAATTATGAATCTATTTTAAATTTATTAGTTTGATGTTTAATGATGTTTGATATTATTGTGATAAAAATTGATATTCTTTCATATTTATATATATATTGTTAAATAAGTACTGAACTGATAAGGTAGTTCAGATGGCTGGAGAAGTAGTGTTAACGTTAAAATGAGTAGAAGGTAAGGGGTTCGAATCTTACCACGGCCAATTATCTGAAAATTAATACTTGTAGATTAGAAAAAAAAAAGTGAAAATAATGTATATTGTATAATTAATAAATCTGGAATAATATAATTATTTTTTATTTAAAAATTCATAAAAATAACAAATTAGGATTTTGTGACGGATTTTGAATCCCTCACACATTCGTCACAAATTGCGACGGAATTTTACTCAAGTATTAACATTTATTTAAGTAATTTGTGACGGAAAATTTATTAGTTAGTGACGGCATATTTCCGTCACTAATTGTGACGGACTAAAATTTCCGTCACTAAATATTTTGTGACGCCATTTTTTGTGACGACCCAAAATCCGTCACAAATTCCGTCACTAATAATTTTGTGACGGATTTTCTTTAATTTTGTGACGGATTCTTTCCGTCTCTAATTTTCATTTATCTATCGTTAGTTACTATGCTATGAATAAGTTAAATATGATGATGTGTATGCCATATCACATTGTATGTATTATTTGTGTTTGGCTAACTGATTTGTATTCTTGCATCGTAAGCCAGAGTGAGATGTTTGTCACTCTCTTTTCTTTTGTGTTGGCTTCTTGTGATTTTGCAGGTAATCATCGACATGGTACTAAAGATGTCGATGATAAGACTTAGTCCTAAATGTTAAGTTTTGCTTTGATAAGACATGTGATATCGAAAAATTAGTTATGATTTGATTTATATTATTTACTTTGAGTAGTTTAATTTTAATTCTTTCATAATTTAATATTTTCACTAAGTAAAGTTTATGTTAAAATATAATTTTCTCTACTTGTGTGAACTTTGAATTTACTTATTTATTATATTGAAGTTATTCAGTTTTATATTATATTATGATATGCAGGATAGAGGGTATCACATGGGACTTAAGTGTAATTTTCACTCTTAATCCACTAATTATTTATTAATTTATTTAGTATATTTTTTAATAGTGATAATATTATAAAATATTTATTGTCATAAGTAATGACTAATCTTCCTTAAAGTCTATAAATATATACAAGTAGATATTTCCTTTTCAACATAATCTATTTTATATTTAAAATTAGGATTGAAAATTTAAGCATCTTAATTATTAATTTAATTTAGCTTTATAATGCTTCTACACGCATGAACACATTATACACGAGATGCTAATTCACTGTAAGAAGCGCCAACAAAGAAACTACTATGAAGTTCAAAACAAAATAATTTGACTTCAAAACTAATTGCTAAATGATTTTTCAAAATTATAGTTAAATTTTTTAATACAATCGAAATTGTTGTTTATTGACTAATGGTTGTGTTTATCTTTAACTGTGATTTTCCTTGTACAGTTTCCTTAATTCCAACCAAGGACTTACACAACGCTCTCCATGATCAAAATTGAACGTTAGGAAGTGGCATATCCCTAGTACAATTGAGTTGAGATTTTAGAAATTTCAGGGAAACCTGTACATTTTCCTTTAGTTTGATGTCAGTTATGGCTTCCAACGAAGAATTAACAGTAGGAATCCCTTTAACATATTGGGTTGACAATGAAAAAAAGCGTGTAGTTATGGCGGAAGCAAGTGGAGACTTTGTAGATGTTCTCTTTAGTTTCCTCTCCCTTCCATTAGGAACTATCACCAGGCTTCAGTCCGAGGGCAAATTTCCCCAAAACCAACGTCAACAACAACCATTAGAGATTGGTTGCATCAACAATCTGTACCAGAGTGTGAAAGATTTAGACCCTGATGTATTCTGGAACAAGATGTGCAAGGAAATGTTGCTTTCCCCGCGCAACCCTTTAGAAGGCTCTTGCCAGAGACTACAAGTGAATGTGGATGACACACGACCCACTAAGTATTTCATGTGTCACAGCTGTTCAAAGAGAAATGATTTGTTGGTGAGTACTTTTAATGGCGCAAGGTGCTACTGTGGGAAATTGATGAAAAAAGAAATGGAGCTGCTGGCAGAAGAACCCAAGGAAGGAGACAATGGTGTTTTTGTTAAAGGGGATGCCATGTTCTTGATCGGTGATGACTTGAGAGTTATCCGAAGCTCTCCAGGTAACTCTGTTCAACCACTCCTCAAACATCGATACAAAGACTTGAGTAAGACGGATCCAGTGGTTGTATATCTAGGCGTGAATGAGGTAATCTATATTGCTTTATATTCACATGAGTTGGTACTTGCATGACTTTTTTTGGTTAGAAAAGGGGGAAGGGAGTTGTAGAAAGAGTAACTTCCTCCCAATAAGATGTTTCTACCAAATAATATGTTAGACTCGTGCGCACTTAAAAGCTTGAGCATGAATATGTATTCGGAAACAAATAGTAGGAGTTGTAATCTTTTGCCAATGAAAGGGAATACTTTAAGGACTTAAAAATGATTATTTTGTGATAGAAAGTTCAGATTCGGATACATTGAATTCGAAATACTGTGACTTTCACTTACCACTTATGCATGTAGCTCACAACCTTCCTCGAGTTCCCTAATTAGATTGTAATGTTGTAGACGTGCGGGAACTTTCCTTTTTTCATTGATAGAGATAAGAGATTTCTAGCCTGTTTGGTTATAGTTTAGAAGGTTTTTTTAAGAGTTTCTTTATAAAAAAAATTAAGAGTATTTTTCATTTAGAGAAACTCTTAAAGTCCTTCTAGGCTTGTATCCGAACATGTTCATCCTTGTTTAATGAATTATAGTTATAACTTTACAAGCTTAAAACTTGGTTTTTATTTTTCCTCAGATATTTAACATACTAAAGAAAGCATTAACCTCCAAATCTCCTCTAAGTGATGTATTCATTGAAAGCAAAGAATCTAAGCCATCCTACACTTTCTCACCATATACTGGCTCAAGTCATTTGAAAGATTATCTGGAAATCAAGGTAATAGTCAGCAAATCACAGAACAAGGTTCTGTTTGTCGAAGCAAATGCAGATTTTGTCGATTTTCTTGTCAGCTTCCTCACAACACCTCTTGGGTCTATTCTTAACCTTATGAATGCCAAATTATCGTTGGGAAGCATTGATAACTTGTACACAAGTGTGAAGAATCTGAATCCATCATGGTTCATAGAATCATCAAACAAATCCTTATTGAATTTAAGGGCGGCTCCTCAATTTGGTTGTAAGAGCAATAACCTAAATGCTTCTCAAGACACTCCCAAGTATTGGTATGGCACTGGAGCAGTGAAAGATAATATGGGGCGTATAATGATTTCAAAGAGAAAGGATATGGTACAAGATCCAAAAGAAGTGAAACTTTTTGAGCCAAGATGTCGTGATGGAGCAAGAGAACTTGCTGTGGGATTTATGAAGAGGCCGTGTCTATTTGTTGTGAGGGATGATCTGCAAGTCATACCAATCACAACTACTTCCAGCATTTTGTATCTGCAACAGCTGGAGAATATCCAGTTGAATGATTTGGAGGAACATTTGGTGGAAATCAGGAAGTCACACGAGGTAATTAAAATCCACAATTCACTCTTGACAGCTTGTTCTTTCGCTGCCATAATATTGGTTCAAGAAAATTTGATTCATATCAATGGTTTTAGTTAACATTTGCCTTAATTAGTTGGTCAAATAATTGATTATAATGAACTTCGTACAATATGTGTATTTGGCCATTTTCAATTTAGAAGTGAAATTCATTATGTGTATTTGGACAGGCACTGAACCTGTTGGGGGCTTCTTTGACGTGCAAAGAAGGTGCTTTGACGCAGAGCCTATTCTACCTATTGAGGAAGTGGAAATACCAAAGATGGATTCCATTTTGGGGTGTATTGGGAAGGAAGAAAAAGAGGCATGGAAACCAAAAAGAAGTGGAAGTGGAAGAGAAAGAGAAAGAGAGTGCGGTAGTAAGTGATATGAGAAACAGAGAAAAAGATAAGAAAGTAAAAAACAAAGAAAATGGAAAAGAAAAAAAAGGGAACATGTTAACAACTCCTGAAGAAACCAAATGATGAATTTTAAGGTTACACTTTATGGGAGATAACAGAAAAGGGGTCGTGTAGATGTTTGAAAGTCGATAGAACGTTGGTCCGTAATTCTGCAAGTGCTATTAGGCTCTTAGGAATTGACTCCCGTCGAAAGGTTGCGGTCTCTTCATGATCATCACGCACTTTCTGAGGTTCAATTTTTGCTTTATCACTTGTTGGTATTTGGCTATTTGCCGTCTTGGGTGTGGCTTCTAAGTTCCTGTAGCTGAGGATTATCTCGACTAGGTTCTTCCAGACTTTGAACGTTCTTCTCATTCAACAAAATGATGCTGTTAATTTGTGCAGACAAATTCACTTCTAATTTAGTGTCGTATTTGCCTTATGCTACTTTTGGTAAGACCTATGCTAGTAGGTTTCAAAACTGTGTTTGTGATCATGTTATTCCTTTAACTGCCCTCCACATAGGGGATAACTCATTCATGTATTTGGTAAGTTGAATCATTGTGGTGTATCATATCTGGCAATCAGTTGTTTATGTTTTGGTCTGCTTAATCTCAGACATAAATGGTCCTCAATGATCTAGATGCGGCTGTTGAAAGCTTCAAGAAAGTATCAGAGTTGGATCCAAATGATTGTAGTTTTCTTATATCAGTCTCCCTAGCTAGCTAGTTGGCCACCCCTTAGCAACGTTGTAAGTACACTACTTGGCCTATAGTTTATCTTTTAAGTCTGAGTGATTGCTAGTTTATTATATAAAATAAATAGTTTCATGCTAAAACTAAATTCTTAAAGAAACATAACAATTTGAAAGACGACGCAAGAATAGATGGAGGATTTCATTTTTACAACACTTCCTCTTTCTTAACTCATTAGCCATCTTGGAAATCCTTGCATCAGTTATTTGTAAAGATTGCAATGTTTTTGAATGGTCGATGAGGTATTTGGTGAGCTCAGCCGTTTGTACAAATTCCTTGATTCAAAGGTCTTAGATTCAAATGTATTTTTTATTCATTTATTTATAGCAAAATTTATTAAACCTGACAACTTGACCGCAGAATGATGTAACCTTCACTACCAGCAAAAACAAAAGCTCATTTTGTGATTGTTAAAGCAAAATACGCCTTCAATTTATTTAAATCATATATTTTTAACATTAATATACTTATCATTAGCATGCAGTCACTTGAATTGTTGTATTGGTACATTCAAATCGTGTAAGTACAGTTTTACCAAAGGGTGGACTAATATTTGACAAAATTCAATATAAAAAGGATACATAACTAAAGACAAAACATATATATATATATATATATAAAAGTTATCAGATTCGTTAAGATGTCATTTTTGGACCTCTAAAGAAGTGGACAAATAAATCACAATGTTGAATAGTAATTAGAAAATCATTTAAAATGATGAAATATAAACAATTAATTGTTAATAAATTATGTACTTACTAATACCTGCTCATTTGGTGTTCTCATCATTAGAAGTTATTTTCTCATTCAATGATCGTAAACCCATACTTTAGTTTCATCATTAAGTAAGAGTCCTAAAATTTGGAAACTCTTTGGTAGAGAGAAACACCCAAAAGATACTCATTATAAGACAAAACAAAGTTGAGTACTAAAATATTAACTTAATTAATAAAATAAGAATTTAGGAGAAACAGAAAATAATTTTAAAGATGTTGGAATGTTGTTTTTGTCTTTTTGTAGGGTTTTGAAAAAACATTTTTTATTAAGGAAATATTTAGTAGGAGAGAAATTTTTTTCATAATTAGGAATCATAATTTCTAAGAATTACAAATCCTGAAAATCATGATTTCAAAAATAATTAAAATATGTTTAATTACTCATAAAAAGTTCTTGAAAATATTCATACAGAATTCTTAGAAATTAAAATTTTTTATATTTGGTTATAATAATATATTCGTAGGTATATAAGTACTTTTTATAAAAATATCTTTTATTAAAATATATAAACTCATTAGATAAATTTATTATTCAAATCTTATTACAAATTTGATATTAAACTATTTTAAAAAGTTGAAAACTTATAGTTAAAATTATTTAAATACTAAACTCACAAAAGAAATAACAAAGAAAAATGTTACATAATAAGTAAGAAGGATAAAAATATATTATTTCATTCAAAAAAAAAGTTAACAAATACCATTAAACTATAAAAACAAAATAGATTTTTAATAATATTATTAAAATTAATAAGGTTAAAAAATAATAAAATACAAAAAAAGACAAAGAGAAAAATAGAGATATTCGAGGGAGAAAGAGGGGGAGAGAGAGGGAGTGACAATGAGGGAGATAAAGAGAGACAGAGAAAAAGAAATAGAATGAGAGAGAGAGAGGAAGAGGGAGGGAGAGAAGAAGAGATGAGGAGTGAGAGTGTGTGAGGAGAAAGGGAGAAAGAGAAATAAAAAGGGGAGGGAGAAAGGAAGAGTGGGGAGTCAGAGTGAGAGACAGAGATGGAAAGAGAAAGAGTGGGAGAACGAAAAATAGAAGGAAAGAGAGAAAAATAAATTTTATTTTAAAAAAAAATATTATGATATTTTTATATGCATTAAACATCTCCTTAACTCAGAAAGTTAGATTCTCACTCTCATGTAGAAATATATTTATAGAAAAGTGAGATAAAATTGATTCTTGAAAAATTATACTCTTAAATTTTTTTTAAATAACTACTAAACATAAAAAACTAATATTTTTAATTTAAAATTTTCAAAAATATATATAAAAAAAAATATTTTGCATATCAAATGCCCTGAAGAAGAAATGATGAGATATGCATGTAAAAATTAAGATTATATTGTACTTCATTTGGTAAGTAAGATATACACTATTGGCCATCATATTTAATGGTTTCTTGCAGAAATCAAACTGTAGGGGAACAATTTGTAAATTTAAAAGAAATATTTGTTGATTGACAACGACAAAATATTTCAGTAAATTAACACACCGCGAGCATGAAATTTGAATTGAAGCCAACACTTTCAAACTCCAAATTATGAGGCAATAAGTTTATTTAGGGACAAAAAAGTAGCATAAACGACAGTTGAGGGACACAAGTGAACAACCAAAGCCAAATTCACTAGTGAACCAGCACAAAGAGGTTTCAAAAGATTTGGCCATTGATGCTCTTACTTCTAGGATGAGGAAAATGTTATTTATTAGTTAAGATTATTATGAAACATATTCAAATGGGAGAAAGAGAAAAAAAAATAAAACTTAAAAGGTAGAGTTACTGAAATGATAAAAATGAAGTTACATAAGTATAGATGTAATTTGTATGACAAATTCTAATGATACTAAAATCTTATATCTCTAATATCAAGTCGCAATATTAGTTGTAAAATAAAGAAAAATACATTAAACGATGTTGGAAATAGATCAGTAAAAGATATACAAAACTAAAATGATCAAGAGTCAATAGACAATATTAATCATTAAGCAAAAGTCATAATACAAGGCTTAATCACTTAATAGAAACAAATATTCTTAAAGCATGTTTGGTTTTGATATGAGATGTGAATTTTCACATCAATCATGAAGCGTCACATCGTAACTTTCTCATATTTTATTAATTTGACGAAAAAAAAATAGAAAAATATACATAACAACCTGTAATCAAACAAACTTTTAACCTGTTAAGGAATGAAAACAGAACGAGTAGGTGAAGCGGGTTTAGAGAGAAGCGCAGCATAGGAAAAATATTGTTGATGTATTATGTGTCAAACATAGGGCCTATATACATGTACATAGCAACAACTGTTATAAGGCAAAAATAATAAACCTAAAAATAATGACAGCAAATATTATGTATCCTTTATATAACCATTTAAAAGACAGAAGTAACAAACATATATGTTTAACAACCATAAGGCAAAAGTAACATAGTTTAACGATCAAGAAAAGAAGTTAAAATAATATTTAACCACTCAAGACATATGCAAAACATGATATCAATGTTTAACCATTCATAACACACATACTTAACCAATGTAAATAGAAACTTACATAAAAATAATAAACATAAATCAAATTTGCCTTCAAAGAAAATTAATCACAAACATTTTGTGAGCGTTGTAGAAACCACAACACTAAACAACTTAAAGAAACCATAATATTTTCTACTAGATTATCATCAATAACAAGACAATCAAACCATTATTATATTGCAACTCCATGTACTTGAATTATATCAATAGCCAAATAGGTTGAATAATAATAAAATCATCAAAGTGACAAATCATTGAACAGTTTGTCCACAACCTCGCTTCCTTCCTGAGTCCTCATTACATCATTAACAACTATTTTAACCAGTGATGTATTCATAATTTTTAAACTGCAAAGACAACTCAACTAAATGTATAAAGTTGTAATGCTAATAATCTAATAAAAAGTGAAAAAGAATAAGAAGTGATACTTCCTTTATTATAATTATCAATTACTAATAGTAAAAAATACATTTTGTATCTTCATAATAAAATAAAATAAATTAGGGATTTTGCAAAAAAAAAAAAGTGAGTAGTTATTATTTTTAAAGATAATAAATATTTTTTTGTATATATATTTTTCTTATTTTATTCTTAATATAAATTAATAAATATCTATATAATTGTCTAGTAAACATCAAAGTGATACTTTCTTTATATATTATTATGGACTATAAACATATTGTAACACCCCAATTTTCAAAATGGTAATTACTATTATAAAATAAAAATACATAAAATTAGAAGAAAAAAATCCTTTTTATTTATAAGCTAAATTTCATCACACTAAAATTTATCAACAGTTAAAATGGTTTAAAATACAAAATTTTAAAATATTAAAATAAAAATAATTACAAATACTTATATAATAGTACCAAACTTTCAATAATAAAAGCATCAAATGTCAGAAAAATAATTTAAATGACAAATACATACCAACTAAACATAGTTTTAATGTCATAATAATTTAAAAGATTAAATACACAACTTAATATTAAAGTCTTAATATATGAAAATATTAATTAGTGAAGTTCGTGGACTAGTCCATGAGCCCGCAGATTAAATGCACCATTATTGCGAAAATTGCATGGTTGGGGCGCGTCGGGCGCAACCCTTGTTGATATTTACATGCTTTATTGTGCATTTGAAGGTGTGAATTGAATGTAAATTGCCTTTATTATTGATTCATTGTGGATTATGCTTTTCTATGAACATTCTGATGATGAGAACCTTTAAGTGTGTGACCTTATGGGAAGATTATTAAGATGTGAAATGTGACAGGTGATATGAGATATGATGAGACATGATAAGTGAAATGTTGAGTCAATGAAATAGTGAATGTGTGACATGCGTCATGTGCATATATAACCCTAGGTGTGCCACATGCCAGTGATGTATTGAGCTATTACAGGTGTATCTTGGGTCACTAGTGATGTATTGAGCTATTTTAGGTGCGCCACTTAGGCCGCATGCCAAAAATGTATTGACTTATTCCAAATGTACCTTGGGTCACCAGTGATATATTT